TATTTTGTCGTAAGAAAATGCTAAGCACCATCTTTACACCAACAAACACTAAAAAAAAAAAGAAAAACATTATTTATTGTTGCGCGAACCGAAGTTTATGAAATATACATTATATACGTTTTATATTGATTCGATGACCAAGTGGTTAGAACGTTCACATTCTGATCATGAGACCCGGGTTTGAATCTCACCACGGTAGATTTGTCAGGAAGGAGACTTCCTGATGTTATCGGATAGGAGGGGTTGATCCCAGTGTTCGGCACATTGGAAAGAGCCTGAAAACCATATCACGGGTTGAACCAAACCTTGAGAGTGAAATTGTGTAGACGGAACCCTTGGGTGCCGGTGATAGCTCTGCCAGCATGAAGTCACAAGACATCGTGCCCGAGAGCTTGATCGTGCTGGCCTTGTTCAAATTGTTGCTCCCGCTAGATAACATGCTCTTTCCCAGAAATTGTAACTGCATAGTTGCAGTATAAACCACGGGTGGGCTCTGTGGGTTTTGAATTAACACAAATATATTTGAGCAAGCGTCTCCAATAGGTATTGCCTAGCCGACCTAGTAGACAGGTATCCCCGACTACAAGTGGCAAGCTATACATACAATGATTTGTGCTTTACGGCTTATAAAACTTTTACACCTTTTTTAAAACCAGAAAATATATTTAGATAGTAAGACTTAGAGGATAATGATTCACTGATCGATGTCTTACTAATTAAGACATATATCTGGAAGTATAGCAGGTAGATCTATACGTTTCCCAAGGATATTTGCTGGAATTCAAACCCAGCTCTGCGATATCCAATTCCAAGTCTTTATCCATTACACCACCCACACATCCAAGCTTACAGCACCTGGCATTTCCCAAAGAGTTACCCATCTAGATATCGACAAGGCTCGATGTTGCTTAAGTTGTGTTTCAATGTGAATTGGCCATAAGCCTATACTTGCTATATTTTTAGGAAGTGTCTTCATGAGTCTGTTTCCATATCTGGTTTGGTGCTCCTGGTCTACAACTTAAAATTCCTGACAAAATTCAAAAAAGGGTTTGTAGTTATGTAATCGATCCCGACCCGACATCTCAATTTCAATCACTTCCTCATCGACGTGTCTGGCAACGATCGAGTAAATTATTACAGACCCTTCTTTGAATTTTGTTCGAAATTTGATATCGGAGAGCCGAGTTTGAATTCCTGTTGGGTTCGTTATATTCCAGGTGAGAAAGGTGAGACCTAGTTACCAAAAAACTCATCAGAACAGTTTCCTGCCAATATTTCCATGTTAACTGTTCTGATGAGCTGTTTTTTTTCCCCAACTACACGAATTTAAGCGTGCTACTAGATTGGCAACTAGGTCTCACCTTTTTTACTAGCTAGATGCAACCGCCTCTTCTGCGCTCACAATCTTTTTTCGCACTTCTCACCTGTGGAAATCCCTTCCGATTTCTTGCTTCCCTAATAAGTACAATTTTCAAAACTTTAAATGTAACGCCAATCGCCATCTTCTGACATCTGAACCCTGTCTTTTCCCCAATCCTACACACTTTTTTGTTCTCTTTCATTCCCTGTAACCCTCTGGCTTCTGATGAAATTATTGCCTTGCTTGATGTGAAACGATTAAATAGTGTTGTTCAGATTAAAGTCGGACTCGAGGCAATTAAAAAAAAACTATTTTTCAGAATTTATGTAGAAAATTTCATATGGCAGGCCACACGAGGGGGGAAAATGGCTGACATTGCATTCTAGGTATGAAGTTAAAATAATAGGCAGGGAAAAGAGAAAATTTAAAGAACTTGCACACCCATTGAGCAATTACATATGCCAGAATAGTGTCGAGTTATCTTTTCTAACTGCTTTCATTTAACTACCGTAAAGAACCATTTTTGCCTGTCATCAGCATGGCCAACTTTAGACGTCATCAGAGCAACACAGTCCGGCTTCTTGGTCTTACGTTTTCCACTGACTTAAAGTGCAGTGACTACATCGAATCAATAGCTGCATATACTGCAAGGAACGTTGACTCACTCTGTCGTGCCAAAATATCTTTCTCACCAGAATCCTTCTTGCACATTTATAAATCTATCATTTCTCCGTGCATTGAATACTGTTACCATATCTGGTCTTGTGCTCCTGCTGTACATCTCTGTATTCTTGACAAAATCCAAAGAAAGATCTGTAATGTAATCGATGTTGACTTGTCATCTCGACTTCAGTTACTTTCGCAACGACGTGACGTGGCTTCCCTCTGTCTTTTCTACAATTATTTTCATGGTATTTGCTCTAACGAGCTTTTTTTTCCTGGTGCCCCGAATACATGAATTTAAGCGTGCTATTATATTGGCATCTAGGTCGCACCCTTTTATTGTTTAAATAGCAAAATGCAACCGCCATTTCTACTCGAAGTTACTTTTCTCGAATTTACCGCCTGTTGAACTCCCTACTATTTACTTGATTCAGTGATATTTCAAATATTTAAATGCAACATCATTCGCCATTTTCTGTCTTCTCAAACACCGTTCATCTTTTATTATTCTCAATCTTCTCTTTCACTTTCACTTCCTGTAAACCCCTGCAGACTATTGGCATTCTTGTCTTGCTTGGGATGAAACGATTAAAAACAAGCATGTACACGGGAATTATAAGAGCATTATCTTGTAAAACATGAAATCGACAGTGATAAACAGGTTTCTGGGATTGCGCTGTGATGTAATGTATAACGGCTTTGAATGAGAAAAATAATTCGAATTCCATTTGCGTTCTTTACATTCACTTATGCACAGGTAGTCTTGGAAAAGATATGAATCTATCTATACTCCTACCAACTACGGGTTGAATATCATGGCAGACTGGGTCTATAGCCTTAGTTGGCAATCAGTCTACTGCAGAAAGAAACGGCAGCCTACTGCGGGAAAGCCTTGTACCTCATCAGTCATGAATCAAACGAGACATGATCACTCAAACGCGTATCACGTATGGAACTTCACTGAATGAATTACCTGTGCGGTTATTCTTCCTATGAATGGGAAGGGGTAACTCGTATAGGATCCAAAATTTTATTTTTTTATTCGGTAAATCTTTCTGTAGAAAATAAATTTAATTCTTTCTTTATCGATCCTAAACATAAAAAATGGCTAAAGAATAGTGATATGATTCTGGGGAATCAAATCAGAGTGATTCCTTTACTGCAATAAATTTAAATTATTGAATATGTCTTAAATTTGTTTCCATCCACACGCACGCAAATCCCTGCACACACGTCATGCAAATTCCACAGAGTCGAAATCGCCATCTTTGATTCTGTCTGGGCGAGAATCTAGTGAGAGATTAGAGGCAATTTATTCGACCACTCGTGATATATATTTATCTATAAACGCCCATCTAATTATAATTTAGATATATAGAAAACAGAAATAAGATTTTAGTTCAAATTGACAACATGTGAATAAAGGTTGTATTTTCTTGATTTCAAATGAAAACTTAGAAACTTCCCAACGTATTTCATTGAAAGATTCACTTTCAAAAGTATAGCTCATAATTTCATATACGTATAAATGTATGGGTTTGCATATCTATATCGTTTGTTTTGTTTTTTGTGAATTTATAAACATTTTGGCATTTTGCAGAATTTGCACATTACAGAAAACATTAAATGGTTTACTGATGAGGAATGACGCATGCGTGACATTTAGAAATAAAAAAAGAGAAAATAAAGAACAGAATTCGAGGCACAGAATTTAATGATATTAAAATAACCTACATAGACACAAAGATGTGAATAGATAGATGGATAGAGGTGAACAGATAGATAGATAGATAGATAGATAGATAGATAGATAGATAGATAGATAGATAGCTTTGAATAGACTGACATAGATAGATAGATAGATAGATAGATAGATAGATAGATAGATAGATAGATAGATTCACAATCCTCACTGATAAGCCTTGACAGAGTTCTGATGCGTTTACGCGACCATCTAGGCAATTAATTATTTTCTACCCTGCAACCGCTTTCCTTCAGACGAACCATTGTTAACCACTCAGTACTCTATCACTGTTTTCCTTGCATAGCTTCAGTCGAGTTACGTCCCTTAGTTCAACCAGTTCAAACCACTGAATGCTAGAACGCATCATGCCAAGTCTCATCATCATTCCATTCGTATTCCATTGGTATGGAGGAAATTCCACCCAAACACCTTTTCCCCGGAACTGTTACGCTCCCTAGAAGATGCTTCTCCTAAAGAAGATATTAACTAAGATATCAACCTCTTCAAGTCTAAGGTAAACCTTCATCTATTCTATACATATTGAAATTACGAATTTCTTATGCCCTTACAACAACCTTATTCTGTAACCCTCTATTTTGAGTGGCTCTTGGGCTAAGTATTTTGGGAACAATAGTATTTAAAAAACGATTAGAATAGACTTAGATAGATAGATAGATAGATAGATAGATAGATAGATAGATAGATAGATAGATAGATAGATTCCAATTTTCAAAAATGCCACTATATTTATGTAAGAGTGCCTTCAAAAAGAAACATATTATTTCAACTAAATCTCCATTGGCGAGGCAGGACATCATAATGATGCTTGATTTGTTTCTTTAATGTAACTGGATGGTTTATTAAATTAGATTTTACCCGATTTCAGTGCAGCTTTATGTACATATTCCATAGATAGATAGATAGATAGATAGATAGATAGATAGATAGATAGATAGATAGATTTGAACAGATAAATAGACAGATATTAATATCGAAAAAATTGATTTTTTTACACTTTAAAAATTTAATGTCTGAAAAAAAAAGCGTTCAATCAATTCAGAGAGTTGAAATCTAACGCAAAAGATTATTAGATTATTAGATTATTTATTTTGCGTAAAGAGTGTATTTGCTTCACTTCAAATATTTCACATTTGGCAGGGGAAACATGTTAAAATGAATATTTTCTATATTTTCATATACATATCATTTCGTCAGATTTTCATCCATTTTAATTCAGAGATAGATAGATAGATAGATAGATAGATAGATAGATAGATAGATAATGTAAAGGCCAAAATAGATAGATAGATAGATAGATAGATAGATAGATAGATAGATAGATAGATAGATAGATAGATAGATAACGTAAACGCCAAAATAGATAGATAGATAACGTAAAGGCCAAAATAGATATATAGATAGATAGATAGATAGATAGATAACGTAAAGGCCAAAATAGATAGATAGATAGATAGATAGATAGATAGATAGATAACGTAAAAGCCAAAATATATATATATATATATATATAGATTCTCTCGTGATAATAATAATAATAATAATAATTATTATTATTATTATTATTATTATTATTCCAATCGACAAAGAGAATAATCTTTTGTTAAATGTCGAGTTTGTTCATTTCTTTCTTTTCTTGCATTGCTGGACTACTTTTATGATCTCACACTTTGTGCCAAATGGCGCTAAGTTTGTTTACATTCGAATGTTCGTCTGGAACTGATGCCAAGACAAATCCTTAGTTGTTAATATGCGTAACCGCATTGACGCTAATAAACTTTTCAAATAAATCAACTCAGGTGTCTTTCGATATTTAATCCGTTAATCACCGAGCAACAATCAAAACGATGCACAATGGAAGTTTGCTCAGACGATAAACACAACATTTATCATTTGCCGCAAAGATCAGACTTTGTTTCGATTTGACAATTATGAAAGTCATACAATAACGTCTGGCACCCTACAGGTTTATTCAGAAGCAACTATGGCTCCCTGTACTAATGAAAATTTGAACTTTTAAGAATTTGCAGAAATTCTCCAGTATCAGATTGTGGAAACATGCTTTAAATATGAGCGACAGGTAATTAGAAAAATCGAAAACAAACAAGCACTTCCCGTCAGTTTAGTTTCTCGCCGGCGCATATCTTTGCTCATAGGCTAGGCTTCTTTCACGGTGTCAAAATCCTTATTTTGTGTCTGGGCGAGAATCTAGTTAGAGATTAAAGTTTACACGTAACATGAAGACAATTTATTCGACCATTCTTGATATATATTTTTTTATAAACGCCTATATAATTAAAATTTAGATATATAGCAAACATAAGGAAAACATTTGTTCGAATTGACAACAAGAGTTTATGGGATGAACTGACTCCTACCTTCTTTTTTTTACCATATACTGTGATCATTTTGCGTAAAGAGTGTATTTTCTTCACCTCAAATGAAAACTTGGAAGCTTTCATTGAAAATTTCAATTTCGAAAAGTATAATTCACAATTATAATTTAGATATATGGGGAAATGTTTCAGTTTATACTGACACCAGGAAGGCATAGTTTTATAATGATTAACAGAAAACCAAACTATTTAATAAACAATAATGTTATAAAAAAACATTACTAGCTAAATCAATACATGCCGAAATGACGTTCAATTTAATATATTCGAAATATTTACTTACAAAGTTGAGGATCTTTTTATATATGTTGTACAAATAAAATAAAAACGGCAAATAATTAAACCTTACAATATTTAAGGGAAAGGGTAAGGTTTAGGAACATTAAGATTACCTCCTCAGTTATCCATCGAAACTACAATCCACCGAAATAAGAAAAGAAGCCAGTCCCCACCGCGGGCCAGTTAAAAGATAATTCGCGCAGCGGATTGGTTGTTACAAACATCCAATCGGATGTGCGGAATATGTGGTCTTTTTTCCTCTTATTCTTTAAAAAGGCCAGAGTAGCTGTTAGCGTTTGAATTTAAGGGGGAATCAGGGGTTGATCTTCCCTGATTGGGTCGATTTGGTGATGAGGAGTATGATGTTGAAAGACCCGAAACTCCCTGATGAACCAAATCAAAACATCACTGACGACCCCCTTGGGCGCCTACTTAAAAGCGTATTTTCGAATTAGACATATGGTACAAATTTATATCTATAATTCTCAAAATGTGTGTGTGTATGTATGCGTGTGTGAGTGTGTGTGTGTGTGTATGTGATCGGATGTTGTTCATGCGTTTCATCTGATTTCCATGATTTTCTTTTTGTTTGATAGATAATTCTTCAGTGTCAGTTTTGAGTCCAAATTGGCTGTAAAAAATTACAACCTTGAAGGTGAAATATCGAAAAAATTGATTTTTTTTTACACTTTACGCAAAAATCCAGCGCAAAATTTAATGTCTGTAAAAAAAGCATTCAATCAATTCAGAGAGTTGAAATCTAACGCAAAAGATTATTAGAATTATAAATAAATATATATTATAAATAAAAATTATCGTATATTAATATTATGATGGTCCATGGAATAGCTTCCTTCTTTGCAAGATTGAGAATGCAAAAACGACCCTTTTCACCCCCACCTTCAGATTGTTACTCCCCACCCCCATTTGGGGAATGTGCCTCATTTGCACCCAGTTGTTGTTACTAATATTGATTTCCGAGTGGGCTGACTGCTCCAATTGAACGGCATGAATTCCCAATAATAAAAGACCCGGTCAAAGACGGGTCGTGCTGCTAGTAGAAAATATACGTTAAATGCTGTTTGTTCTCGCTTTTTGTTTTATTTTCAATGGTTAGAAATCTGTAATAAAGTTACTCAAAAATTAATCTAACTAACTACGTCTCCGATCGTACTTATTTCATCTAATCGCTATCTTCGCATTACTAGACCCCACAAACAAATAATTAATCAAATATTGTACATTAAAGAAATTACAACCAAAAACAGACCAGACAATGACATGAAATATTTTCATAAATTTCTCATCTCTTCTTTTAGAATCTGAAATGTTGGCGTAACTTAATTGCATTTATTTTAATCTTTTTTTTGATATGCTTTGGATGTAATTTCTTTAACGGGCAATATTTCTGTTTTATTTTCTTATGTTTTATTTGGTTACAAAAGGGTTATTTCACCTTTTGTTTTACTAACTCTTGTTATTAAAAAACAAAACATGTACATAATTAATTCAGTGAGTCCGCAACAAAATTATGAACAAATTGTCTTACACAACAAATATTTACTCTTCCAACCTTTCATTATCTTTTCTTTTAAATCAATGCACCCCAAGAAGGCGATAATACCACTGACACACAAAGGGCCACTGAGAGTGAAAGAGAATAAAAAGACTTTAGCAGGAACCGGAAATCCAATTCTAAACAGGAAAAAAGGGATAAATCACTACTCCTGTTTAAAAAAAAGGTTAAACCGTACGATCTAACTACTCAATTCAGTGCTGAATAATAACTATATAGATCTAACGTTATACAATAATAATTTCAGATCAAAATTCTGTATGGGTTATTGATGTACGTTTGGACAGCCTGTATATCTATACATTTATATGTAGGTTTGGTTTAATAAATACTGGTATGGACAAACGGGTAACTTAATTGATGTGCTTGTATGGATAACATTTCATGATTCGTCCACGATCACTGACATGATTTTTCTTATTCAAGCTAATTAACCCTAAGTTTTAAAAAAGATGTAAAGTGTTTGCCAACAATTGCTCAACACAATTAGGATCTCCTTGATGTGCGAAAACAATTCACAAAGAAGTCAGGGAAATATTCTCTCTCTTGGCCTTGAAAGCAACAAAAGGCTTCATCTATTAAAATCGCATTAGCACAACTTTTTTTACTGGATTTGGAAGCTAATATATGATTTTTATTATAGTTGCTTAGAATTTCTTGGAAATATCAGATAAATATGAGGAGATGAGAAATAAAACATGTGAAAAAGTAGGAGGTGTATGTTCAGCTATCTAACCAAGATGGTGGCACGAACAAACGATAAATACTGAAATAAAGAAGAGCGGTTACATAGAGAGAAGAAACAAAAATTGTTTATGGAAAAAGAAGAAATAAAAATGGGTTTATTGACGGAAAAGAAACCAAAATGTGTTGTTTAGAACAAGAAGTGAAAAGACGGAATTATAGAAAGAAAAGTAACAATAAAGTCGTTATATAGAGAGAAAAAAATTAAAAAATGACTTATAGTGAGTAAAGAAACAGAAACGTGTTAGTTAGAAAAAACAAAAAAGAGGATTATACGAAGAGATGAAATTGAAAAGTGGTTATATAGAAAGAAAATAAAATACGAGATGAAAAAATCAACAAAGGGCTTATAGAGAAAGAAACGAGAAAGAGGTTATGGAAATAGAGGAAAAGAAATAAAGAAATATATGGAATAAAGAAACGAAAACCTTGCTACAGAACGAGATGAAAAAAAGGCGTTATATAGAGAAAAAAAAAAAAAAAAATCTTATGGAGAGAAGAAAAAGAAGCTGATTTTATAGAAACAGGAGAAAATAAATGAGAAGGTTATGTAGAGAGATGTAACAAAAAAAAATGATTATAAAAAGAGATGAAAAGTAAAAGGGTTATGGAGATAGGAGAAACAAAAAATCGATTATAGTCAAAGAAGAAATGACAAACGGTTTATTGAGAGAGAATGAATGAGAAAGGGGTCAGAGAGAGAGAGAGAAGAATCAAACAAGTATTTACACACAGAGACAAACCCATAGATTGTTTAGAGAGAGAGAACAATTGAAAAAGTGGTTAGCTAAGAATAAAACAGAGGTTACAGACGGAAGAATCGAAAAAGGGCTTATAGTGAAAAAAAATGGTAAAAGATGTTATAGAAGAGAAGAAAAGAAATAAAGAGTTATAGAGAGAGAACAAGCGAAAATGGATTATAAAGAGAGAAGAATGGAAAAGACCGTTATAGAAAGAGAAGTGAAAAATTCAAAAGAACGGCTTATAAACAGTGAAGAAATGAATATATATAGTCATCCACAGGCAGACTGTTTCGTTGTATCACAGCTCCTCAGTGTGGCTAAGCGTTCGATTGCTCAAAGACGGGATTGAAACACGACTGTTTTGACATCAGCCTGATATCTTACCCTAGGCCAGCGTTGAACGGCAGAAATGAAAGGAATTTTTAACGTTTTTCTCTATACGAAATACACCAGCGGTTCGGAGAACTCAATTCATACATGAAGAGTAATGCTTAATAGCAGTAGGAGCCGCTGTTTTTTTTAAAAACCCTTTCCCTACAGAGTTCAACCGGATATATATATATATATATATATATATATATATATATATATATATATATATATATATATATATATAAAGAGAGGGGGAGAAGAAATGAAAAAAGGGCTTGTAGGGAGAAAGATGAAGTAAAAAGGACTTACAGAGAGAGAGAAGTAAACTGTTACAGAGAGAGTAGAAACAAAAATGGTTATGAAGAGAGAAGAATCAAAAAAGATGATATAGGGGAAAAGACAAAGAAATGACAAAGTGGCCACAGAGAGAGAGGGGGAGAGAGAGAGAGAAAGAGAGAGAAAGTCGGAACAAGATGAAGCGAAGATGGGATTATCGAGAAAGAAGAAGGCGGTTATAGAGAGAATATAAACGAAAGACAGAGAAAATGAACGCAATAAACAATCTACATCAAAAGAAATTTAAGGCATAAAAAAGATACAAACGCATAATTCTTTAAACAAACAAGCAGAAAAGAATGCGAAATAGAGAAAATAACGTAAAAGAAAGAAAGAAAGAGAAAGAAAGAAAGAGAAAGAAAGAAAGAAAGAAAGAAAAATGAATTCTTTTAAATTAGCCTCCTCACAGTGACAAGATGTGACATAATGTTATGGGACTGCTTTCGGTCAAATCAAAAATTGCCCCGTCCCCATGAACACTGTCACGATTCCTCTGTTACTGCAATGTTGGACGTGCTGCCACAGGATTGGAATCCCTAGGCCTGGGCGTTCTCTCCATTAATCATAAGGAGAACAGATACTACGCTGAGTCAGAAAAATTTTAAAAGGAACAAAATAAGAAAACAAAATTCACTAATCAGCAAAAAAAGAAATAAAAATAAAAATAACGAATGAAAAGAAAGAAAGGAAGGAATACATTCTAGGATACAGAAATTAAAAAAAAATAACGATAAAAGAATCCATACAAAAAATGTAAGAAAATCATTTTATTAAAAATCTTTCTAACGGATATAAAGCAAAAGGGCGACTCAGACATTCGTACTTTTTGCCCGTTTTCTCTTTTGTTTGTTGACATGAGTTTCTTCTAACTTCTTCCGTATCATAAACCGCTTCCTGTCAGCGATGTCCCACCTGCAGTGATTTGTTTAAAAAACGTCTCGGTTTCAGCTTCTTTCATCAGACGAGATCGTCAAAACGAAAGCAGCAATCAACCATGTTAAATCATAAAGTTACTGACAGTGAACGGGAAAGACGCTAAGAAAAGCAGACGACATTCTTTGTAATCTAGACAACTTGAATAAAACTCGCATTCCATCCCCCGCTATCTTTTGTAAGTTATTATATTTTGAGTAAAAGAAATAAATGTATAAGTAAAATTTCAACATCAAAAGTATGATGCTATCAAGCAAAGGAAATGATGAAGTAGAAAAAAAAACACATAAAGAATGTTTTAGATAAAAATTAGGAATGCCTCATATCTTTTAAGCCATTACGTCATTTCCGCACGCTTGTTTTCATGTGAAAACATCAAGGATAAGTTGGTTGAAAAACGTATTTTGATTACTATATTCTGAAGGGACAAACATCTAATGCAGATTACTAATCAAATTTACTGTGTAAAGAAGGCACTGAAAAAATGGCAAACGAAACTTCGAGAAAGGGTTCCTTTTTACACGACAATACACCTGCTCATGGGGTTGACAAGACGATGGTTGTCTTGAAGAATTTGGAGTTTCAGAGCATAGACCATACATCGTATTCATATCTTATTCCATCTGAGTATTTTGTGTTTCCAAACTTTAAAACTTAGGAATTGGAGGAAGCTTTAGAATGATTCGAAGCTGGTAACAGCAACAGAGCGCAGTATTTCAATGAAAAAACATCAAAGGTTTTTTAGAAGGGTTAAGAAAAAAACTTGAGAAATGTAATGGCAAATGTCTTAAGCTGTGGAGTAATTATGTTGAATAGCATTTATGTTTCATGGCTCACGATTATTCGATTCTTGATCAGACTGAGAACATTTCAAAAAGGTGGATTCATATATTTCCTAATGGTATTTGCGTGTAAGTGAATATAACAAACACAACTGTACGCTCCGACCTTCTTCAGGGGATTGGAATTTCGAACTGTTTACGTGCCATGTTTGATGTCTCCTTCTAATTTCCCTCTGAAAGTTCTCCACTGCCTTAACCGGAATTGAACTCACACTCTTTGGGTCCTTGAGGACACATGGCACAGTGGATAAAGGCGTTGGTTAGATCCAATGACAGGACCCAAAGAATGTGAGTTCAATACCCGGTTAAGGCAGTGGAGAACTTTCAGAGGGAAATTAACAAAGAAGGCCGGAGCGTACAACGGCCGAAACGTTGTGATAAATATGGCGACAAAGATGAGGACAATAGTCCGAATAATGTAAATAATGTACATAATACCTCATCTCAGAAATATAGACAAACAAACCCAACTGTTTCTGATTAACAATTCCGAGCCGTTATCTATTAGACTACCTGCACTTCCATGCTTATAACACCTGGTATTCCCAACTTGTCACCCATATATGTACTGACCAGACTTACTTTCGGTGATCGTACTGGTACCAGTGTTTCAATGTGATGTACCAGTAAGCTGAGTTTGTTTTGGAAGAAATGAAAAGGAAAAGAAAGAAAGAAGAAAGTAGAGGGAATGATAGCACTCCCATTTGTTTTACGTCTGCTTCAATGAAATGGAAAAATCTTGTCAATTTTGAAGTTTTATTTCATTTATAGTTTCTTCTTTAAACAATGATCTATATTCATATTTATGATAGTTACTGTCATATTTTGTTAAATTTATTTAGCTCAAACATTTAATGATAATTTAGGGATATTTCCACGGGCATTTTATAGTCGTAGAACTCTCAAAGACCTTAATCAATCATTAAGATAAGAATTATGATTCATGAGAAAATTCAAATAGGAAAACTGGAATTTTCACTGGTATTTCCAGTTATTATTATTATTATTATTATTATTATTATATTGTTACTTTAAATTATGCTTTCTTTCAAACGAAAATTTTATGTCCTACATTTTGTTTTAAACCTACTTCTACATAATCCGATCAATCTAACTAATTAATGGCTTTTTTTAAAGGATCCAATTCATACATACACAAGCTATCATGAGAGCAAACTGAAATCCTTTTACAGCAGGAGTACCACATGTTTTATAAAAATGCGAACCAACTGACGAACTAGAAAATAAATAAAAGTAAACTCTGCCAAGAATGAAGGCTGCTTGCACTTAATAATTTAGTTTCAAAATTTGACCCTCACTAATAGCAGACTTCAAATAGTTCAGCTCAACTCTGTTTTATTCGTTTTAAATAGGTTGTCAAAATAGATTGATCGATAATTTTGAATTATGACATTCACGTGAAAGCCCACTGCGTCAAAGTAATTTTTTAAAAAATATATCTCATTTTTTTTATATATTTAATCAGCCACCGAATGAATAAAATATCTTAACTAAAATGCCTCTTGAATCATCTTAAAATATGTTCAAATATAAAATCAAACCATATAATATTTATCGATGTGTATTTTATATATATATATATATATATATATATATATATATATATATATTTCCTTTTCCCATTGTTAGCCGGAAGAGATTTAAATCAACTTAAGTTAGTAAATCTATTACTTCCTTAGTCATTTTACTAATCTATACAAATAAAATATTCGTCTGTATTTAGATTAAATTAACTTTTTAATTAATCCAGTCATTTACTCTTAGGTTTCTTAGATTGCAGCCTTATTTGTTTAAGCCCGTCATGTGAAGCACTCAGAGACCTTTGTCTAGTGTGATCGTTTTGCTTCAACTTGGTCTTCAAATAGGCTTTGTTGTCACCGTCTTTGTCGGTCTGTTGCTAATTTTATTTTTACTTCCCAGAGTTATTTCTTTTTCACTATTATATTACACTCATCAATGTTTTAACATGAAAATACATTGAGCAAAAAGCGATTTATATAATGCCAGGCGTAATCTATGAATCATAGACACCATGGAATGTCTAGAAATATAAATGGAATGGATCAGTTAAATGGTTCATTGACAGCTTGTCTGAAGTTATTATGGGAATCAAATAAACGTGAATAACTCGAAATTTTCGAACCATTGTTTGTCAAATTTAAACTCACCTTTTTTAGCAAAATATCTTAAAAAATAAATTTTCTGCCATCTTTAATGGCTAGTTTTTCAGATATTTGAAATTAACGAAATTGAATTGACTGAAGTTATTATGGAGATTAAACTAATATTATCTTAAGACCCCTGAAATCTAATAAAAAAACTATTTTTTTTCTTTTTGTCCATAATATATGTTGAAACATGGATAAAAGGAAAGATCTGACAACAGCTGAAAAACAGAAAATAACAAAGAGTCAGGGAATGTCCACATTGGGAGACATCAAAGGGTCTTTGCAGAGATCATCGAACGATAAAGAAAGCTGTTGAAAATATTAGTTGAGAACTTGAAGCAAAGGAAATGTCTTTAAAAAGTTGATTTCTCGAGAAGAATGTAAACTAAAGTGAGTTATAGCGAAACAACTACTTTAACCAGCGCTCAGATCTTTCAAATGGTTGGAATTTAGGGAGTCAAGAAGGACAAAAGGTGTAAAATATTTTGTGAATTGTGATCAGTAAAAACATCTCCTAGGCAAACTCCTCTCACTAAAGCAAATATTTTAAAGCATCAAAATTGGGCCGAGAAATACATGAAAATTGACTTCTTTGAAAGTAATTTTCACTGACGATTCTCAAGTGACGTTTCATAGATCTAATGGATGGGACAAAGGATGGAGTTTATCCAATTCAGACATGACTGTGGCTAAAACAAGGCAACAAGGGGTGATAGTGTTATGGGCTGGAATTGTCAACTAAATTATTATTGGACCATTCAAAGTTAAGAAGCAGTTAAACTGAACAGTGATAACTATTGTGATTTTATGAACAAGAAAACAATTGAATGACCACTATCAAGTTCTAATTTGAATCCGATCGAAAATCTGTGGTCAGTTGCTAAGACGAACATGCCAAATATAAGAGCAAGTGTAGACCTATGGGAAGCAATGAAAACTACCAAAATCCAACCAACTGAAGTAAAGCAATTAACAAAAATAATGAATAATAGATTACTGGCTGTTAATGAGAAGGGTGATTATATTAATAGATATAGGATTCAAAGAATTATCATATGTGTTTGTTATTTGTTCTATTATATGGGTTGATAGTTTTTGATGTTTTTATTAACTTTTTATTGAATGAAAATAAGACTACTTGGTTTTGCTTAATAACTTCAGACGATGGTTTTTCTTCAATAAATCATATTCGTACCGCCTACGGTTTTAACTCAGGCATTGTTTTGACATGTAAATTGATAGTTTAAAATTTTACATTTTTTTCAAACCAAATTTGAATTATTGAAGTTAAGATGATTTGTTTAATAACTTCAGACAGCGTGTAGTTGTCAATTCTTTATATCCACTTTATTGAATATATTGTTTCAAGAACCGAGTAACTCCGAAAGAGACTATCTTATCAGCAGGTGTATAATATCTGGGCTTTTTGTACTGCTATTTCGTGAATGGTTTTTGAACCGTGCAGTAATCTCCGATGGGGCCTCACGATGAAGGGTTCTGCTACGGCTGTATCTCTGGACGATTCTCTCCGGGTTATTTATAAATCCAACTCATGCGGGTGTGTCTGTGTCTCTGTCTATTATACCAACCAATGCACACATGAAACCAATTAAAATACAAATGAATAAAACTATCAAGCCCAATCTAAGAAAAACAAAGTACACTCTTCGTATACCATCTCCTACACCAATGTGAGGGGGTCTATGTTCCACTTTCCAAAAGTGGTGAAGGCCGTTTTAATGTGGGTTTTTCCGGTCCCGTAGACCACGTAATAACGGGGTCGGGTTTGTCTACCTCCCCAGACGACATTTTACTGTTCGGCATAGCCACGTCTGGGTCCCTGTCTACCCGAAGGCAGAGTGTTTGACAAGAACTTAGCGCGCGGCTAAGATCTAATGGTAACTCCCCTCAACTCCGCTTAACTCCTTTTATTTCCATAAACGGACGTTTTCCATTCATTTATGTTCTATATGAGAGGAACATTCTGAAGATTTCTGACGAATTGCGTGGCCAACACGTTCGAACGATGTGAACACGACAGAACATTTATGGGGCGTGGTACATAAGTCTATTCGATTGATTGGTTTGTTTTTATGTCTTATCAACCTGCAGGTTATTTAAAGCCAGAAAATATTTTAGATTGTAAGAATTGCTTTTGGAGATAATAATGAGTTATTACTACAGATTAATAATTAACACACTGCTGGAAGGAGAAGAGGTGGATTCATACCTTTCTAAAGCGATTTGCGCGTAAGTGAATATAACCAACAAGACTGGAATTAGAACTCGGCTCACCGAATTCCAATTCTGAATCTTATCACTTACACCACCCGCAAATCCAAGCTTACAGCACCTGGTATTCGGTCACCCATCTAGGTACTAACCAGACTCGACGTTGCTTATCTTCAGTGATCGTAGGAGAACCAATGTTTTAACGTGATATGTCCATAAGCCTACTATAAGTCTGTCGAAGATATGGAAATGGTATAGCTCAGCATCTCTTCAGAAGCATTTGATATCCCGTCGAGTTGCTGCATTTCGTAGGGCTAGAGGGTGTCTTGGACGATAATAGACACATATCACATGACTTTGATACGTCAGTGTATGTTTTTAGCGGAAGCATTTTATTAAACTTTTGCCAGGTCACTCTAGAAGTGATACTCGTACCGTGTGACCCACTAGAGTCTGTCGTATGATCAGATTCCCTCAGTATGTTTTTCTTGTGAGGAACGTGACTAGACATTCAAAGGACATAACTCTCCGGCTGATTCACTGGCCATCTAGCATAATTGGATAGATTTGGGACCATCCCTTTTTAATCAGCCAGCGCGGCGGTGACGTGGTACCGATGGGCGGCGGGCTTCCTAGACTGGATTCAAGGGTTAGAGCGTGTCTATGACGAGGTAAGGCTTCAAATTAGAGGGCATCAGGGATAGACCTGGAGAAGGATGGACTCCGTCAGGTCTGATTACTCAAGACACGTTGGGAGTAGATATATACCTCTCCGTCTTTCAATACAGATATGTAGAGGGTCTGGTTTGATTTGTTTTACAGCATATCAACCTCAATAGGTTATTTAATGCCGACAAAACTTTTATTGCTGACTAGCAGCATGGTCCGGCGTTGCCCGTGCTTGATTCAAAAATCGTACGACTCATACAGCAATCGCTATCACTTGACTTAAAATATTTTTGCCCTTCCTTGCCTTTAAAGGAGTGCCCTTTGCTGTGCTGATGTTGCTACATGCCTTACTTCTTGCCTATCTCACACTGCGAATTTTTTCGAAGCTCTATACTAAACATTAAATCTGTTACGAAAAAAGAACTAAACAAAATGAACACAAAGCGATCAGCTTTAAGAAAGGACTCGTAACTGGAAAAACCGAATGAAAAAAAGAATGTTAACATCGAATACTTTTTCACACCAATCCAGTTCTGCGGAATCAGAATCAACGTTGAGTTTAAGCAAGAGAATGAGCCAATTGGAGTAAAGTGCCATGCAGATTTAAATTTTTCCCACGTGTGACGAATGCAGCTATCGTTTTTTTTTTTGCATGCTAGCATGCTAGTTAACATTTGCGTCAGTCAGCTGTTGGCTCTCACGCTGGACAATAGAATCTTCCTGCCTATTCGTAGCAGCCAGCTATAGGCTTTCACTCTGGCCAGTAGAAAATGGCCGCAAACTACATGAAAACTGCCGTAGAAGCATGAAAAAATCGATTATTTCCACTATCGATGGGAGTTGGGAAATGCAAAGTCAGTCTTGGCTTTCCCGCTAACTTGGAGCATGTGCATGTAAATTTTGGTGCAAATCTGTCGAAAATTGCGGCCGTGCATTAGTTACACACACACACACACACACACACACACACACACACACACACACACACACACACACACATCCTACCTTTTATAGATAGAGATAAATCATCTATGGTTGAATATCACGCATATTTTTCAGTGATTCTTTTCTCAGTTCAATAATTTAAAAATCTAAATATACCAGTATTGTGTTTATATTTACTTCGGAATTATTTCAGATATTAAAATAATTTACTACACATTTTCCGTACAGTTGACACTTCTGAATTTTTGTTCTTCCCTGGTTCACTCCTGACTCAGGGTGGGAGCACCTGTCAAGGTCTCAGGTATGGACAAATAATGAAACCCAAACAGGTGTCAAAACAGGAAAATATAAAAACATCAATTAACATCAATTCATTTTCATAGTAAAATAAAATAAATATTATCAGCAATAGATTTTTAGAAAAGAAACTACCAAATCTCAAAAGAGAAAAAAATGTCGACATTAAATGACCCATAAGGAGTTGATATGCCACTAAACAAACAAATCAAACCACTTGCCACTGGTACTCCCTTTTACTTAATGTTTAAAAAGCAATTATTTTATTGAATAATATTGCTAACTTGGATCATGTGCATGTAAATTTTGTGCAAATCCGTCGAAAATTGCGTCCGTGTATTCGTTACACACACACACACACACACACACACACACACACACATCCTACCTTTTATAGATAGAGATATTATGTTTTTCTTCAAAAATCTATTTCTGGAAATACTTTTCCTTGAAGAAATCTATAGCTGGTAATATTTTTTCAAATAATGTACAGCTGTTTGTATTGCTAGTACTTTTTTTTTATTGCTGATAATAATTTTTCCTTCAAAAATTATTGCTGGGAATATTTTTTATTACAAAGTATTTCTGGTATTAAAACCTATTTTTACACAAGTTTGGGTGTCGACTATTTGCCCATAGCTGGATCCCTAACAGGTGCTACCACCCCGGGTCAGGGTGGACATGGGAACGCCAGCAATTAAGAGGTGGTTCTTTGCTCCTCAAAACCTCCTGATCAGAGGCCTTGCTGTTGGATGTAGTTTATCGTCTTACTCAGGACGTCGATGTAGTTTATCGTTATAACCAGGACGGAGATATGTAGAGGGAACAGGTCAGATATATAGCAACGCAGCGACCCTAAGACCACCTTCGATCAAGGGAGTAATTATTATTATTAATATTATTATTATTATTAAATAATTTATCATTTATCTCTAGTATTATTTTAATGCCTATAATGTTTCTTTTTCCGTCTTAATAGTTACAGTTCACTCTTTGTATATACCCATGAGTTGTGTTCGTGTGGAATTTTTGTGTCGCTGACCTATCGACGTTATATGTGAATCTAATTACACAAATACAGAGCGACATATTCTTGGTCTCCCCAACCGTGCGGCCAGCCTTTTAATCCGCGCGCAAACACGTCCCAATTTATCAGTCGATATGAGCGAGGAAAAAAATGTCTTTTTTTACTGTAAACAAAATACAAAAGAGATCAAAAATTGGCGATACCCTTGAGATAACGACTCCTAAAAAGGAAATAAGATGAAGGTTTTGAAACGAAGATATTTCATAGACGAACGACCACCCAAGATCGTAGAAAACTTGTAGTAAAAACAAAAAGAAGTAGAACTAAATACAAATACAAATAATAGATTTTTTTTTTCACTGATGAGCTTACATTGTTGAAGATCAACAAACACAAACCAACTTCCTTCATGTTACGATGTTTATTTCTTAATTTGGTTTCCCGTTCCAATATTTTTTTATGACGTCTTGGGTCTTTTGTTTTTATTTGCAATGTTTGATCTTTAGACACCTCAATACTTATCTTGGAATTCTTGTCATTCTTTCCACGATATTAATATTATAGGTGTTTCTAGTATTCATAATACATGCCACACACATATATATATATATATATATATATATATATATATATAT